ATGTAGTTTTATCTTGAATATGATTTGTAGGTTTGTCTCCGTCCAAGCCATTGTTACCGATCATTGCCCCGTAGCTGCAGAAGGTTGATGGGTCTGATGTATGTGTAACTGGTGCTGGTGATTTCCAATGCTCAGGGAAGCCTGGTCCTGTGTAAGAATTCAGCAAGCCTATTTAGAAACCTTATATGAGTTTTATAATCACAGACATTTTCTGTTTTGTGGTAAGAAACCTAATAATAGATAAGCTGGAAATGAAACAAATTTGAGTAGAAAACAAAATTTTGTCATTTTATTTTGAGACTATCAAAGGCCATCACAGAAAAATTGTATCTCCATAGGGTGTTATGTTTAAATTTCTAGAATGGTATTACTCTTAATGATTGTACATCATTAAAATGTACTCCAAAAGGACAGGTGAACTATCAAGATGTCAGATTTTAAATTATCACTGACTCTTTTTCAAAATATGATAGATAAATAATGTTAATCTTTTGCATGCTGGAATCTTTGGCATAATGGAAGAAAGATCTTCTGTCCATGGTTGCACTCCAAAATGCATGTAACAGCTAGGGCTAACACCAAGCCAAAGCCAGAAGCCAGGGTCTCCACCTGAGTCTCCCACATGAGCGGCAGATACTTAATCCTTGAGTGATTCTCTGCTTCATTCCAGTAAAACTTCATTGGAAGCAGCACTGGGTGTCCATCCTGCGTACTCCAGTGTGGATGTGCTCATCCTAAGCAGTTATTTTACTGTGCCACAACACTTACCCCCTACACACTTTTTTAAAACCCTTAAATAATAAAAGTAGAAACTGGATTATCTCAAGCCAGGCTACCAGCATGATATCACCTAAAATATGAGATGTCAGTCCTTCTTTCACAAACACAACTTTTATTCATTCATTTGACAAATATTGGTTACCTGGTGTGAATTGGGTATTAATCTAATACTAACTTTAAAAAATAACTTCCTGTAACTTGGCTTTTACAGTTAATTTCCAAATGTTATATTTTATCACCTAACAGGAGTTAATTATAATTACTTCAAGTGAAAATTTCTCACTTCTCTGTTGGGTAGATCCAATTTATTATTCAATAAGAGGCTCCTAGCCATAATTACACATGGCATTGAGTTAAAGGCTTGTAAAATTAATGTTGATCATTTTTATGTGAGAAATAGAAGTGAAAGAGAAATATTTCTTTACCTATATAAGAAATGTCATTCTGAGATTTTTGAATATTTGCCATATATAAATACCTTTGTTGGTGACTAAATGTTACAAGGACAGCTTAATGTAATTTAACTACAGTTAAATGGATTTTTGATAATGTTACATACTCTTTCTCCGTGGATGTACTTGCATAGGTTTTTTTTTTTTTTGAAGATTTATTTATATCTTGGAAAGTCAGATATACAGAGAAGAGGAGAGACAGAGAGGAATATCTTCTGTCCGATGATTCACTCCCCAAGTGATTGCAACGGCCGATGCTATGCTGATCCGGAGCCAGGAGCCAGGAACTTCTTCCGGGTCTCCCGCACGGGTGCAGGATCCCAAGGATTTGGGCCGTCTTCGACTGCTTTCTCAGGCCACAAGCAGGGAGTTGGATGGGAAGTAGAACTGCCAGGATTAGAACCGGCGCCCATATGGGATCCTGGTGCATTCAAAGCAAGGACTTTAGCCGCGAGGCCATGCCACCAGGCCCCTGCATAGGTATTTTTATACAAATAAAAGTTGCATGCCAAATTTCTAGTTTTGTGATTTGGGGAATTGTGATCCTTTTGATTTTTTTTTTTTTTTTTGGTATAAACATTGAAACTTGGAATATGGACATTAAGTTTCATGTAGTTTGCCTTTTGTTCTTTTATATGCAAAATTTTTTTATTACCATCTCAGTTTTTCTTTTCATTAGGCAGAGATTGAGAGCTCCCGTATACTGATTTACTTCCTAAATGCTTGTGATGGCAGGGGCTAAGCTAAGGCCAAAATTTATCCAAGAAAACAATCTAGGTCTCTCCCTGTGGGGAGCAGGGACCCAGTTGATTGAAGAGTCGCATGCATCTGCTTTTGCTGATATCTCGAATTAGGAGATGGAGCAGATATCAAACCCAAGCGGCATGATACAAAATGTGGATGTCTTAGCCATTAAACAAATGTCTGCCCCACACCATTCTTTAGAAAATAAAATCAATACAGCATTTATAGAGATTGAATGAGGTATTTTTTTCCTTCATTTTTCAATTTCTGCGTTTTGCACTGACAGCAAAGCCTTCTAATCAAGCAGAGACAGATGAAAAACTTTTTGTAACTCAGAAACAGGGATATTGTTTTGATGGCTAAGTTTCTGGTCCTCACTGTTTTTGTCTAATTGTCTCTTCCCTTTCCTATTCAGTTAAATAGGAAAAGAGCAAACTGTCAAATAAATGGCTGCATTAACAGGAATACTCCTGTTGAATGTCTTAACCTGGATTTGCTAACAGTAAGAGCATGTAAGAGCAGTTAGAAGATAGGGTCTGTTTCTGGCAGTGTGTGGTAGTGTCTGACACAGACAAGAACAAAGCCTGAGGAGGGTAAGTGGGTGAATTGGTGTATAACTCACTCGGTAGACTGCTGGGCATTGCAACCACAGCTGACTGAGCACATACTCCACTCAGCTTCACAGAGAGGAGTCGGTGAGCCAGACAGTGGAGGGGCCGGTAGGAGAGTAAGACTTGTCATCTCAAACCTGAAGAGTCACTAGAGCTCATCCATGTGCGTCCTTTAGCACATTAAGGGATTTAGTTTGCAATGTTCTAGCAATGAGAACTCTCAAAGCGAAGGAATTCGGAGCAACAGCACCAAATCTGTGTTTGTCAAACGTCAGTCTATCTTCACTTGAGAGAGTGTATAGAAACAGGTGCAATTAAATCAGAGTTGATAAGTCGGGGTGCTGGATTAGGGTGACAGAGACAGATATAGATAAAGATACGAGGAAGCTAAGGGATATACCAAGTAATGGTGGAGGAATGAAAGGAGTCTGTGATTCTTGAGTTTTAGGCTTTTAGAATCTGTTAAATGGCTGTGCTGCTTTCTGAGAAGCCCATGGCGTAGGCTGGAAGATCATAAATTGTGATTTAGATCCTTTGTGTTTAGAAGTCTGTGAACAGTTTGCTGCTGATATGGAACCAGGACTCAGAGGAAAGGTCAGAGCTAGACTGCGATTTTAAATAGAATGAGATTCCCTAGGGGAATTTAAGCTGAACAGAGGCAAAATGTGTGTGTGTGTATGTAACTCTTTAGAAAGTTAAAAGTATACTAAGTTTCATGTGGTAAATATAAAAAAGGGTAGAATGAATCTAACTGTAGTTCTCTTTGTCTCAGCTTGTCGCTTTTAGTGTGAGCAATAACCATACTGTATATTTGACTGCCTTTTTTTTTTTTAACCTTGAATTTGTGAAGTGTTACTGAATTCTTTGAAAAGCTTTGTGAAAAAGAATATAACAAGATTTTCAGTCTGTGTGAGCTTGCCTTCATTATATTTCAAACCCTGATCTGTTTTTATTTTATGTAGTTAGGGTCACATTTTGTCTTACATAAAGTTACAGCTTATACATTCCATAACATAGGATTTGTAAAATTCTAGAACCAGTGGTAACTGTCCAGCTGCCAAGTTGAAACCCCATTCAACTTCTCAAGCTTAACAAGTTGAAACTCAGTTCTAAACTTTCCACATACCTCCTTTCCTGTCAGATCAGAAAACTCAGAACCACCTGTTTATTCCCGTGTTCCTCTTTCTCCACTGCCATCAGGCTTGTACAGATTGCTTGCATCTCTTTGCTGGATTGCCAGGTGCCCTCCTAACTTTTCCCCGTTTCCATTCTAACCGTTTCCATTCTAACCTCCCTCACTTTGAGACATTATCCATAATTATGTAGGTATTTTCCTTGTAAAACTAAAATTACTTTGCAGGAAGCAAATCTCTGCTCTACGAATTGTTAGCTCCTTTAGATTTCTAGAATATTTTCAAGTATCCTTGTGATGCCGTTGGCTTTCCTAGTAATGAGCCTTAAAACCTCAGTAACTCTAGGGTATGGGCTGCCCTATACCTGGTTTTATCTTGAGCAGCAAACATTAGCACTTACCAGAAGTATAAATATCAAGGATCCAATCGCCAGTTCTTCCACTTTCTGGCTGTCAAACTTGGACAACTCATTTCTGAGTCAGTTTGCAAGTTGGTGGCCTCTGATGGAAATTAAGTGATACAGTGCACTGGGCACAAAGCAAGAGCAGGAAAAGGACTCTGGTCATTGTCTGCTTACAGAATTTATCTCCAGATAAGGTTACCAAGATAGCAAATGTTGTTAAGACAGCTTTGTATCAACTTAGAAATGATATAGTGTGATATATGCATACTTTTGAAATGAAGTAGTTGATTAACATATTGACCTAAAGTCCCTACTAGTCTCTTCCTGTGGAAGTAGAGAAAGAAAAATGATTATGTGTCTGAGGCAAAGCTAAATGTTATAGAGAATAGTTTCCTGTCATTTTTATTTGATCTTTTCATTCTGTCTGAAGACATCATCTCAAAGAATATGGAAGACTTTGAAAGCTGAACAGCAGCACTCACACTGATACAGAGACCTTCCTGTTTACCTAGGGATTTGTTTTTTAAGTCTTAAATAACTGACTGTGAAGAGTGGAGTTTGGAAGAAACCTTCGTTATTGTAGACTTCAAGTGAAGCCCTAGGTCAGAGTCACTCAAGGAAAGGAACGTGTTCCTATTTCGTTGCTGTTGTCACATGTTTTACATGTTAATCCTTTCCTAGTCTTTAGAAGCTGACTGTTCTCATCATCATACTCAGCAGTTTTAGTGTCCAGCTGACTCATGCCAGTGGATTTATGTAGCTCTTTTCTTGCCTGGACAGAACTATGTGCACTTTTTCACTTAAAAATTTGTCAAAATTATCAAACACAAAGACACTTCTTTGTTTCTTACTGCTTTTATTATCTCCCCTTTTTTAGGATTATGACAGTTTTTTTGAATCAAAGGAAAGCAACACAGTCTTTTCATTCCTGGGCCTAAAACCACGATTAACATCAAAGGTAGGTAAATCTTCTCTTATTCTTGTTTTAGATTCATCTTTATTGAATAACTTTTAGGGACTGAAATTGAAGGTGTTAGAAAACTTCATATAATCTAAATTTTTAGTTTTTGCTAAATTTATTAGGTTGAGGTGATCCGATCTAAAGACACACAGAGAAGGCTACTTTTGTTTCCCGTTTCCAGTTGTTATTTGTTCCTGTAATTTATGCCCACTATTCCAAGAAGAATTACAGTAGGTAAAGTTAGTAAGTATTTTAAGTTGTAAATTTATATCAAAGTCAGGCCTCCATTCAAATAGGTTCAGCCTCATTAATTCAACTAACTGCAGGGCAAACACTGTATGAAAGGCCTTTTTGCACATTTAACTTATTTACATTAGAGAAGAGATGGTCAAATGGTCAACCTTGAAAAAAATAAATGCAATTCCTACACCAATGAAAATATTTTTAAGCCATTTTATAAAGTTACATGTCTTTCAGAAAACAAAAAAGATCAAAGCCTAACTCATGTTTTACGCTTATAAATTAGTGTTATCACAACTGTATTAAGCACATGGATTCACTTTCGAAAGAAAGCATCTTTTTACTATTTATTTATTTTTAAAATTTTATGATACAGTTTTATAGGCTCTGGTATTTCCCCTCCCCTCTTCAAAAATGCCTTGCTCCTCACTGATTTCCCATATATTATTATGATAGTATAGTTCTTCAAAAGCAGTTGTAAGCCCATCATTCTTTTGTCTAAGTGTATCCTGACATTGTGGGTATGTATAGTAGCAGAGAGTCCAGTATCCTATCGTCAAGATATATTTAGCAGTTTTCTTGGGAGTCCATCGTTGACTTGGAAGTATAGATGCATGCTGGCATGCTGCATTGTGACTTCATAACTCAATATGATAGTCTCTATAATACTGTTCCTTTAGATGACCCTATGCACATGCATGTTTACCTGTATATCTATTGATCTTGTATTCTGCATGAAGGTTGCCTTTTATCAAAAAGAACATGATATTGTCCTTTTGGGATCAGCTTATCACACTGAGCAAAATGGTCTATAGTTGGGACCATTTAGTTACAAATAGTAGAATTTCATTCTTTTTAATAGCTGAATAGTATGCTTAGAGTAGGTGTACCACAGTTTCTTTATCCACTCCTTTTGGGTTGCTTTCATGAAGAGAAAGCATTTATTTATTAGGTAGGTCAATATTTTTATTTCTTCTTCTAATAAAATCCTTTATTGTTTGGTTAAAAAAATAGCTGAAACTCACTTTAAAAAATTGGAAACACATAAAAAAGTATAAGGTAGAAATTAGAAATTACTACTGAGAACTGACTTCATTGGCATTTTGCACGTTCTTTTGCAATCTTTTTATACATGATAATTGAGCTTTTGACTATATTCCAAGTGGAGACCAAATGCTAAAGTGTCTCTTTTAAAACACAATTGAAGTGAAAGTGCATTGCTGGGATATTGCTAAGTAATCAGTCTTCTGAAGCTACCCAGAATTCGTGCCTTCTCTGGAATATCTGCAGGAAAAGGCAGAGAGCATGAGTGATGTAAGCTCTGCAGCCGTACCTGCAGTACACAGCCAAGGTGAAAGCTTGCTCATCTCTCAGTCCACAGATGGTGCTGGGTGGATTCTATTCATATTTTAAGCAAAAGCCAAACCTACACATACAGTATTTAAAGATTCTTAAAACTGTTTTTTCAAAGTGGAACATTTGAATAGTTGTTGGGAAAACTAGAGTATTTTTACTACAGTTTTTAAATCCAAGGATATTCAACAATCCAGATTTATCTTCAAAGACATGAAAAGGTATGAAATAAGGATAATTTTGTGGGTACACAACCCTAGTGGTCATCATTATCTATGCAAAATCCTTAAACAAACAAACAAATAAGCCATGGATTTGCCATCTTTGTTCCTGTATTTCCCGAAGATGTAGATTCCATTCAGATTCAGTGGCTGACCCTTCTATTCTCCTAAAAATTCCTTTGAAAAAAAATCTAATATCCTGTAACGTATACATTCTCTCATAGCTTATGGGCATTGCATTAACATTGATCTTGACACTGTTGAACTTGAGTTTATTTCAGTAGACCATTCCAAAGGCAACATAAGCCGCTGACTTCCCCACGCATTCAGCCCACTGTTGTCCAACACCTGAATTAGCATAGTCCTGGGCAGGAGCACGAGGCATGAAGTGGAAGCCCATGGCTCATGGGCTGTTTACTCTCATGTACCGTTTGCAGCCTTAATGGTTAATAGCAGCTCAGACTCCATCTTTATATAAGATAAGTAAAAATATCTTTTAAAGCAACCCAGTTTTTTCCCCCTTTCCTGATTTTTCTACTTGGTAGTAATTTACCGTATTATAATCTACAGTCTACGGCTTTGTCTGAATACTCAAGAATTTACTAAAAGAGGCAAATTGAGGACTCGCTTTTCATCTACTTCCTACTTCCCTCTGCAGAATACACAAAGGGCTGATGAAAAGCCTACCCAGAAACCTGTGAAAACATGTTTAGTATCTACACTTGCTGTTACACAGTAGGAAAGGAACATCTTATAGCCTATCAGGCACATGTGTAATGAGATGCGGGGCTGCTCTCCAAAGAGGACCGGGCAGAGGAAGGGCAGAGATCACCAACTGGTGGCATGTAGGCCACAATTGGTTATGTTACTTGTCTTGCACAGAATCTTTAATAAAATGCAAATGATTGCTAATATTTAAAACGCAGATTCCACCCGTTCTGGCAAAAACAGGCCCAGAAGAGAGTAGAGGAGCCTTTTTCCCTACGACTGGCTGGATTGGCAGTGGCTGGTCAAGCATGGTCTCTCCCAACCTTGAGAAAAAGGAATCCTCGCTAATAAATTTTTACACTGAAAACTACCAAGCTTGTTTAATGGACAGAGTCCAAACAAGAAGATTGTGCTTTTAAATCCCTGTAGTTCAGGAGTGATCTTCAAATTACATAACAGGTGGCAAGCCCTGGGTACTGACTGGCCAGAGGTGAACAGTGCCTGGGAAGCTATTGATTCGGGGAGGTGGGTACTGAGCTAATCAACTCCTGCTTTCCTGTTCATACTGTGATAGAACTGTTTTTAGAGGAATCTAAGGTTATTGGGAGCATGCAGTATTCATTGTAGTTTGTTTGAACTCAGAGTTTTGATTGTGAAATCCAGGATTTACTCTTATCAATTACATGGGGATGATTAATTGTGATTTTCAACATTTCTGTCCCAAATATTAAAAAAATAAAAACACTGCCAAAGATGAATTATCTTGTCAGTTCAATGTAGTAACTAATGCCTATTTTTTATATACAGGCAGAATCTTAGGAGAAATGGAAGATGATGGAGATGCATTTTGGAGCACCCCTGATACTCAGCACACACCTGTTAACCGAATGCATCACTGTGACAAAAACCACGTGTATCAGCAGTAATGTTTCTTGCCACAGAAAAGGTGTTTTTGGAAGATGTGGGTGTAATGGGGATTGCATGATTGCTTTAAACCAAATCAGAACTGTGGTGGGTTTTTATTTCTTGTTTTCAGATTTGCTTGCAGTTGCCTCACTTGAAACTACTTTCACCTGTTATAGGTATGCTTCTTTAATAATGGAAAGTTAAGTGAGTGGCACCATCTCAGAGAAAATGTTGGATCTTAGGTTACAGTAGATGCCATTATTGCATGCACTTGCTTCTCTTTTAAGTTGTCCTTTATATTAGTCGGCCAGGCTGTTCGAGTATTTGGGTCAGAATTTTAAAGAGCAGTGCTTTTGACAAAAGGCATTGAAGGTTTTTGCTGCACAATCTCAAAAGTTACTGTTCATGCTTTGTGATAACACCTATGAAAAACTGAAATGTTCTCGACTTCCTTCAATAATGAAACTCCAGAAGACACATTCCCTCATAAAGGCCGAAGCTCCCACAGCTGATTTGCAAATTACTGTTGTGACATTTTGTGATCAGAACCGAGCAGGGATGAAAACAGTTAAATATTTTGGACATCATGTGCTCCATTATCTTTGGTAAAAGGAAAATTTCACCTAAGGACATTAAAACTGTTGGAAACATATATTTTAAGAGGTACACTAGTTAGTAAATTTATAGGAGACTTATCTTAAGGCATTTTCAGCTCTAGCAATTTATTTATATGTGAGTGCACATATATTTTTAAATGCAGCTCCCCTAACTAAAGCTGCTTATTCTATTTTGTGAAGGGATTATATTTTTTAAAAAAGGAAGATCTTGGCTAGATCTATTTTGATCTTGATGAAGCATATTAAAAGATACCAGTATTGCTATAGAATTTACTTGCTTTCCTGCATTACTTTTCATTGGTTTCCCTACCTTACCAACTTTTCTGGCTAATGTGCAACTCAGAGTCTTCAGAGTCACGTAGATTTATGTCTTCGTTGCATGTATGAGCACAAGTGAGTTTTCAGAGTGACGTGTGAGAAAGGGGCTGCCTGGGGAATAACTATAAGAAACACCCACCTTGTCAGGCACAGGCTAAACCCAGGTTTCCACAACAGAGATGCTTACATTTTGAGTTTACACTTGCCAAACGTGCATACAGCCTTTAACAAGATCCTCTCAGAGTGCTGCCTAAAATCCTTTTCTATTTCTAGCGTCTTAATTCTTAGCCTTTCCTTAGGATTGTGGGCAGGAGGTTTGTAAGAAATGGAAAGAGCAGAAGACTTAAAGCCCTGATCCCTGTGCTTTCACCCCGTGGCCCGTGTCTTACTCAGAGTGGGCTGCTCTCAAGAAGTTGTTGAATGGTAAAGCTGAAATCCACACCTGCAACCAGAAGGAAAGCATAACAGATCTACTTGACTCATACAGATGTACGATCCATAATTTTCTCTCCAAGGGAAGTTGTTTTTTATTAATAGGCATTACTGATTCGTTGGAATTAGACAAGATCCAGGTCAGACTGCATTTGATTGGATCACAGGGACTCTCTAGGATTTTTTTTTTCTTTTCCTTACTGGATGTTGTTTGAGTGTGTGAGTCTCTTAGTAAGACTTAGAGGTTCTTTTTTTAAGGTACAACTATTGAAACATTTTTGCATTGTAATTACCCAGCTCACATTTTAGTCGGCTCTTGCCAGTGAGTGCCAATAACCAACTCAGTAAGATAGAACTTTGTAAGCTGAATTTTGGAATTGTAGGATCCATATTGCTAGACAAATCTCCCCAGAGTTGTCGGGCTTGTAACTTCTGAATATACCACAGTATATACCTAAAATGATTAGACAGACTACATGAATCACAGTGTTAAGCTCCCATCACAGTTACACAACAAAACGCCTCCCTAATTTTGGAGTGTTTGTTGGGCAAAGAAACGCAAGAGCCCAACCTCAGGTGGCAGTGTTGTTAATGAGCTAGAAGCCCAGTGTGTGGCACTTCCCACGGCAGTCAGGCTCCGTGAAGCACTGGGACATCACCCTCCAGGATCACGCTGTGTTCTAAGAATACTGCATGCTTACTTGCACTCGCTCACCAGCTGAATTCCAAACACGTAGTAATGATTTCCTTGTTCTCTTCTTTAGCTAGCTTCCTTTAGGTTTTGGTAATCACCGTCTTAAAACCTAAGAAACAGATGGGAATTGCAGGCATAGCTGTCATTTCAAGGGCATTTTAAGATAGAATTTTGATTTCCTGGAGCAGGCTTATGCAGACAAAGGAAACATGCTGCTAAAGATTAAATTATGTCATTTAAAGTTGATCAAACACAGAATGCCATCCAGCTGGGTCCAAACACCAGAAAGTATTTGTTTTTAACGTCCCCCCCCCCCAATTCTGATGTTTTATTAAAGGAAAAGGAAAATTCCTTCCCCACTCATAGTCTAATGTGTTTTAGATTTTTTTTTTCTGTTTTGCAGATTTTGTTGTACACTCCACTTAGCTGGTTTTATATTAAGTGAGCTTGATAATCTAACTAAGCTAATTCTTGGCTTCTGCCTTTTTCTATTCTGTCCTGCTTGTTTGATTTTTACTATGGGGTTTTGCTTTTTTCTAGAAATATTTTTTTCACTTAACAGTCTTTCTTACTTGTCAGGATCCACTTTAATCTGCGAAGTTATTGTTTTCAGATCTCAATTTGTATGTGTTTCTCTAAAGATTGGTGAAATCTCAGAGTTTATATTCAGCATTAAAGAGGAATAAATATCAGAAACCTCATATTCTGAACATGAAATGTTTGTTCCCTATCATTTCTCACACCTTTTCTAATTTCGGCTCTGTGCTTGGCTGAATCCCTTCTGTTTAATTGGGAAACTTTTTTCCCCTCCATCCTTAAATCCCAGTTTTGTAAACTGCACATTCAGTTATAAAAATGCAAACCTCCTGTGTCCCTTTAAGGAGCCTGCATGTTGCAGCAGCAGGATCAGGATGGAGTTGAATCTCTCAGCCCCCTCGGGTTGGTTCAGATGAATGACCCTGCAGTCAGTCTCCTGAGCACACTGACGCCCCAGACGGGTAGATATGTTCACCTAATTGGGTGCAAGAAACAAGAATAGAATGGTCATGACCTCTGTTATCAGGGCCTCTCGAAGACTGTATCTGGGGAAACTAGTTCAAACCTTAAATGCCAGGATGGAGGGTGGGAGGAGCAAGGGTTCCAAAGGAACAGGCTATAAGTTTGTTAGAAATGTGCCAAACTCTGAAGTCACCCAAGCAACATGATCAACACCCATCTGTGAGCCATTTTTCTGAGTTGCTGGTTCCTCTGGTTTGGCCATCCTGTCCTGTCAATATGTACTGAACCCCCAGAATATCATGGCCATTGTCTGATCAGGACAGTAGTGGTCTCCCGCACAGATGAGGGAAACACACAAAAGTAGCAGCTGCAGCCAGCTATGCACATGATAGTTGATGGTGCTCCAGGCAGTGGCTCAGCATCTGAAAAACTACACATAATCTTTTTATTTTGAAACAATCATCCATTTTGATTTATTTCATAAATGCAAAGGAATATATATACGCACACAGGCCCACATGTATAAGCTAGAGGATAAAAAGTAATAACAACAATAGACCTAGGTACCTACCTCCAATCTTTCTTTTTGAGATGTGTGCTTTTTGAGATGTGTGCTTACTCTTGAACTTTTGTTCCTCCCTGTTGGACGGAGGGAGTCCCTGTCTTCAATTTTCTGTTGATCTCAGCGTTTCCTTGATCATTTTATTTCCACATATATATCCTTAAAAAATAATAAATCGAATAAAACTTAATGCAGTCTTTTGTCACTTCTCTTTTATGTTCATTGCATTTTATTGCTAAATAATTACTTCATTGAATTGAAATTTTCAGTTGCTGATTATTGAACTGTTCCTTTGAAGGAGAAAAGGGGAGTGTTACCATGAACATTTTCAAGAAATATTTACCAATTCTTTCCATTCAGTTGAAAGAGTGACAGAGTAGCGGGTAGAGAGGGTAAGGGAGAGAGAGCTTTCTGTCTGTTGGTTCAATCCCTAGACACTGGCACCTGCCAGGGAAGGGCCATGACCAGCGTCAGGAACCAGAAATTCCATCTAGGTCTCCCACATTGTGGCAGCAACCCATCTTCTGCCGTCTTTTATTGCCTTTGCAGACATATTAGCAGGAGCCTGTTTCAGGACTGGAGTAGCTGGGATTTCAGCTGGCACTCTGATATGAGATGTGAGCAACTAAATGTGCTGCATTACAAAACCTATCCCAGTGTGAACACTGTTTAATATAACTTCTGATGCACATACGCATGAGTGGATGCTTACCTTGAATTGCAGAGTTGTACAGTAAGAACACATCATCATCTTTGAGAAAACTAAATTGCTTTCTAAAGTAAATCAGCTATGCTCCTTCCAATATACTGGCCTTGGAAAGGGCTTTAGATTCTTGTTAGTGTTTGAGATCCTCAGAGTCAATGTCTTCTTAAGTTGAGCAGTGTAAAATATATCTCATTGTGGCTTCATCTTACATAATTTTGATAATTGGTAAGTTAATTATCTTTTATATTGTAGAAATTAATATGGTTTTTTTGAGACATCTCTCTTCATATCTTATCTTTTTTCCTATTCAGTTTGGGTTTTACTTATTTTTAAAAATTTGTATTTACCTTTTATCAAGTTAACTATTAAAGCAAAAAGAATACAGATTTCAAAAAGAAAACTGTGACACTATTTCCTGAAGTATGAACGACATGTGAACCATTATTTGGTGAAAACAAAATTGGATGCATATGTTATATTTTTTCTTGTGTCGAAATTTCTGACTTGTTGATGTACGGCCAACAAAATATACTTTGTAAAACTTCTCTGTTCTAGAAGGTTCTGTACTCAATGCTATTTTGAGACTAATCAGTTCCAAATTTTTGCAGGAAATTCAAGTCTTCAATGTGTTACAGCTTAGTTTTCTGCTATGGAATTCCTCCAGGAAGAAATTTTCTCATAATGTAGATGATATATTGTAGATGCATGTTTCCTTAGCAAGGAAGTGTGTGATCAGCTTTCATCAGTAGGACAAAGCAATGTTACATTTAAAAGAGCTTCTTTAAAAAGTGTTTCCTTAAATCACAGAAGATTGTATTAGCCCTGAACCCACAATTGCAATCTTTAAACTGAGTGAGATCAACATCATGCTGAATGTGACCGAGTGTATTGTGCTAGCAGCTTGTTTACAGATATATACATTGCCTAGTTCGTAGAACAAGTAATGAGAATGCGGTCTTCTCTGCTGAGGCTCCGGCTAACTCAGCAAACAGCATTTTTCATGGAGTGATTAACCTGGTATTTGGAAGCATAGTAACTGAAGACTTGGTATTGTTGACAGAGAATAAAGATTTGGACATTTTTGTAAAATAGCACCCTGCACTGCTGTAATATGCATCATTTTTGGTCACAGAAAGTTTCCTGTAACTAAACTTTCTAATTACAAGACACTAGTGCAAAAATCTGTCATCACTAATGAAATAAAAGCGAAAGCTCTGTAGAACAGAACACTGCTGTCCATTGTGACACCTGCAAACCCCACCCAAGTACTGGGCACTTGGGAGTCTGCCTGCTTCGACTTATGATGTATTATGAGTGTAAATATAGTACAGATTTTGAGGACAGTATGAAAAAGGAATATAAACTGTCTCATTAATATTTATATTTATCATATTGGAATGATAATATTTTAGATCAGTTAGGTTAATTAAGTATTGAAATTCTACCTTTTTAAAAAACATAATCCTTAGAAAATTTTAAAAAATTATGTACATGGCTTGTGCTCTATCTCTGCTGGACAGTACTATTCTATACCAACAATTTATCTTAGTTTATAGTATAGAAATAAGTACCTTTAAAGAGCCTTTTGGCTTTTGGCAAAGTGTCTCCTTTCTTTGCAGTACTGTAAGAAAATGTGAACATCTTCAGGAACATAATTTTCTAATGTTGCTGCCAAGATAAATGCTTTTCTCATTTTGGCTTTATTTCATCCTTCCTGTTTCAAATGTCTTTATAGTGAAGAGATTCTTTTTTTTTTTTTTCTGGAATAACAGTAACATTTATGTTGTCATGCTGACATCGGTGTCCAGTTTCTTGTCACTGAATCACCTTTTAAAAAAAAGATTCATTTACTTTTATTGGAAAAGGAGATCAGATTTACAGAGAGTAGGCGAGACAAAAATTTTCCATCCACAACATCACTCCCCAAGTGGCCACAATGGCTGCAGCTGAGCCAATCCAAAGACAGGAGCCAGGAGTTTCTCCCAAGTCACCCACCAGGCTCAGGGTCCCAAGGCTTTGGGCCATCCTGTACTGCTTTCCCAGGTCACAAGCAGGGAGCTGGATGGGAAGTGAGGCCACCCGGGACATGGATGGTGCCCATATGGGATCCTGGTGCCTAGAAGGCAAGGATTTAGCCACTGAGCTGTTGCAGTAGTCCCTACTGTATCTTATAAAGCTAATGTCTCCTATTGAATTGGTTTGTATCTGTGAAATTACTCAGAATTATATTTTTTGCATTTTTGTTTAAAAAGTGAATTTAATGGAACACAAATATACCATCTATAATCAGCAGAACAGTGATGAATATTAATAAGATTTAATCCTAGATTTCCTAAAATGTTAATTCTCTGTATCTGTAAAGCTCATTTAAGCTCCTCAGAATGTATGGATAATCTACCTTCAAAGCATTCCTTTCTGGTCTCTGACAAAGATTAAAGCACAATGCTGTGAGTGTGAAGAGGAAATTCTTTCCCTGGTCAGAGATATTAACTGTTTTCCTTTTGATCATCCCTTAGCAAAGTAGCTTTGGGGAAAACCTGTATATTTTGGTCACTAAAATACTTGCTAACAGGGCCCGGCGCGGTGGCGCAAGCGGTTAAAGGTCCTCACCTTGCACGCCCGGGATCCCATATGGGTGCCGGTTCTAATCCCGGCAGCCCTGCTTCCCTTCCAGCTCCCTGCCTGTGGCCTGGGAAAGCAGTCGAGGACGGCCCAAAGCTTTGGGACCCTGCACCCGCGTGGGAGACCCGGAAGAGGCTCCTGGCTTCGGCTGGGCATAGTATCGGCCGTTGCGCTCACTTGGGGAGTGAATCATCGGACGCAAGATCTTCCCCTCTGTCTCTCCTCTCTGTATATCTGCCTTTCCAATAAAAAAAATAAAAATATAATCTTTAAAATACTTGCTAACAATTCTTAAGTGGAGGGTTGAGTTTTTGTTATTGTTTTGTTTGGGATCCTTCCTTAAAGTAAGAAAGTGATTGAATTATAGCTCTTGCAGCTCCAAGGGCTACCAGCCATCTCTCTGCCTTGTAGGCTCCTTCTCATACTCCCATGGGACCGTTTTTTTTTTTTTCTCTTTAAAGAGCTCTTTAGTGTATTTGAAAGTTAAAGTGATAGAAAAGACAGAGAAAGAGATCTTCCATTGCCTGATTCATTCCCCCAAGAGCCATAGCAGCCAGGGGAATCCCAGATCCTAGGACTCAATCCAGGTCTCCCAAACGGGTAGCAGGGAGTAGTGAACTGTCCTTCTTCCACTACTTTTCTAGTTCCATTAGCAGGAATCTGGATCAGAAGTGGAGCAACCAGAATTGAAAACGACTCTCTGATATGTCATGGCAGCTTCACAAGTGGCAGCTTAATGCACTGTGCCACAATACCAGCACCTTTTATAGATCTTGTTACTTGTCGTTTTGATGACTAACCACACCTATGCATGTTTAGTGTTTAAGCATGACTATAACAACTTTTCTAGGATAAATATAAACATTTTGTGCTAATTTGATTTAGCTCATCTCCCTTATTTTTCTTCCTGGTATATTTTGTGCCATACACTGCTAACACTAGGTCAAACTATATATTCCGGGCTGCAGGACAGCCCACAGCTCGATTCTAAGACTGACTCCAAGATCACTAGCTCGCGTTGCTGACGTTGGTATTGGCTGTTACCTTTGCCCAGATTCGCCCTTTCCTTTTTCCCTCTTCCTGTCTAGTCGTAAGCCACTCAAACAATAAGCACTGTGCCACATTCCAACCAACTAATGCGTGATGAGTGATGACAACAGCAATATTCTCACTCCACAGGCTTGAAACCAGAAGGAACGACTGCAGCCACAGCTTCCTTGACTGTGCTGTTCACATGCCTCAAAAATATGTGTTGCTAATGCATTCTGATCATCAATAAGGAACTGAATGCTGACCGGTTTTTCTATTTCAGTCATAAGGTGCTTGTGCAGACTGAATTTTAGCACTTCTAGACTTAGTAGGTAAAATGACGCATTCTGATTTGCAGATGACAGCAGTAGGAAACCTGTTCCCTGTCACTGATTCGTTGAGGGTATCATGCTGCTCCAAGTGGGACCTAAGGGGTGTTGGAAGATACCCAAAGGAGGATAAATCTGAATTTTACTTCTTGAGAAAAGTTCCACCCAGTGCATGGCAGAGAAGTTGACGGCGCAAGCAGAAAGCAGCTGTCCACAGTAGGATGGGGTTAGAGGGATACCAGTGCAGGCAGGAGGTCTGGAGTACATGGCATTGAGTCAAGAGACCCAGCTGGAGCTGTGCAGATGAAGCTGCCCCAGTCGTTGACTCCTTGGGCATTAGCATGATACTTCCTTTTTCTAATGTCCTTTTAGCATCCTCTACTGAGGAAACTTAACACTGCTCACTGTGCAAGAGAAATGCTTAAAGGAATCTGTCCATTATCACAGAAGAGCATATTTGGGGCCTGGCTGCAGTGAATCAATAACTACTATTCACCATGAAAT